GAACAGCATCCGGGACATGCTTTTGATTAATTATTAATGTTCATCATATTACATTAAAGTATTTTACAAAAACATACAAACACAAATCATGTCTCTTCTTGGTTTGCATGTCGTAACATGAGTTGAAATAGTGTATGTAACGTTACACAGACCACAGTTATACACATCAGTCTCACATTAACACATGTAATGTTTAAGTGTTCTGGCTAAACTTTCAGAACAGTTCATGTTTTCTGGTGTTGATTTTGCTTAAACTGAAGGAGGAAGTGATTGTTTTCTGAGGTAACGTGAGACAGGAAGCTTACGCTGCAATTCGGTCGCCGTGATTTTGCCAAGTAAGACATGTTCCTGGATCAACATAACTGTCCAAAAATATAGACTTAACCCAATCCCTACCCCTAAGCCTAACCCTACCCATAATTTATTATGTGAAATGATAGCCGATTAACAAGAGTGTAGAAGCACCTAACCCTGATCGTAAGCCTAAAACAGATATTTCGTAAAAAGGTATCCCTCAATTCTGATTGGTTGATAGGAATGTTGATCCAGGATCATGTTGTACTTGGTGAAATCACGGTCATCCTGTTATGGTTATGCAATTCCACATACACCATTTGCATTTTGCTTGGGAGTTAAATCCACCCTTTGTCTTTCAGCACATCAGTGATGAAGGAAAGATTCTCAAAACTTTTAAAGCAGGTAAAGTCATTTATTAATATATGTTTAAACATACAGGAAGTAGAATAGAATGACATACAGTACAGAAAATCTTAATTGTCCCTCTTATACCCTGAACAAAGCAATGTTAAACATGAGTGAAATACAACTGAAAGAAAAGAAAAAGACAGTAAACCTGAAATTAAACTAAAAATATATATATTTAAAAACATTGATTGATGCACCAGATGTGGCAGTATCATACTGTAATGATGAAGAACAGTGTCTCATGTTTAATTCACATATATCTTTTTAAAGAGATCTGCGGATGCCACAGATCTTGATTTGCAATATTCCTTGAATGGAGTCACAAACAGAGCAAAATCAAAAATAGCTGAACTCAAAAGACATGACTGCTCTCATCTGCACATATCTGATTATAAAAACCTTGTCAGTCACAGTGAGGTAATAAGAATGATTTACGATAAATATTTTTTATCCTAAACATCTATTGATTGATTTGGTGCAGTTTATAAAGAACAATATGAGTTTAAAATCCATCAAACATTTGTTGCTTCTAGATTTTAAGTTAAATGACAAAAACGTACACATGTATAATATTATCAAATGCAATATTAAAATACATCATTAAAAAAGTAAGAATTTTGCTGTATCAAAAGAGGTTGTGATATTTATAAAGCAGCGATTTCCTTTTTCAAATTAAAAAAAAAGTTTTTCTCACTAAATGTTGTTTTAATACAGTTTTAAAAGATAGTTCCTTAAAATCCCAGAGTAAGCAGATGGCAACAGCGGCAAGAAAAAAAATTAAGATGTTTAAAATGGTGTCCTCTTCCTTGCACTGGCACATATTTCAACAGATTTGTGCAGAACATACATAGAAATACATACAAATTACAGTACAATCAGAGGATCCAGTTGCTCTGTTATGCTGTGGGGATCAGATTCATATTCATATTCTGCTGGTCTTAGAGTGAACGATCAGTGCAAATCAACAAGAAGTTGATCACCTTTATCTTTTTCATCACGCAGTGAAATCGTGGACTCTCAAGGCTAATTTTTCACAAAATAATGTCAGCTCCACATCATTAAAACAACAATTACTATAATATTTTTAACGATACATATCACACCCCCAGCTGCCGTTATATGTTGACAGAATTGTGTTGGTGTTGAAGGGAAATAACAAGTAACCAGTGGCGTCGCAGGTGTTCAGGGCTCCTGTGCAGTTGAGTCACATTCAGTGAAGATCATTATAGTTCCTCCAGTTCCTGTCTGTGCTCTGTATTCTCCTGTACTGGAACCTGTGTGTGACCTCTGTGCTGACGTCGCCATATGATGACAGAAATCACAATCACAGTCAGAATCACCGAACACACTACAACTGACACAATCCATTTCGCTGCAGATGGAAAAGGGGAAGATGAGAAGAGAGCACTTTTTTTTTTTATGTGTGGAAAAGGGGAAGATGGGAAGAGAGCACATTTGAAAAAAAGAGTTTTTTTCATTATTAAACTCACTGCTTGAAGATTTTGTAAAGCTCTCAATGCCTCCCTCTGTCTTACTCTGTTGTTCAGTACCATTAGTTTTGTCTTTGTCATTCTCCCGTTTGTCCTTTAATTCTGTACCTGATTCTAGAAGATATTGAGAGGTCAGTCTCACAGTTCAGCATCAATGTGATGTTC